TCTGTCTCTGTCTCTCTCTGTCTCTCTCACACACACACACAAACATACATAGTCTCTCTCTCACACACACAAACACATAAACAGTCTCTTTCTCTCTCTCTCTCATACACACACAACACACACAGACTCTCTCTCTCTCTCTCTCTCACACACACACACACACACACACACACACACACACACAAATACAAATAACATTTCTGAATCCTAGGACATCTAATGCTGCTTTGGGTTGACCCAGCATTTTAAACCAAATGACTTAAGAGCACCAAGACTTGAACTCATGATTTGAATGTAAGTCCACCTGACACCTCTTACTCATCCAGACAGCCATGTGATTCTCTGCCTCTCTCTCCCTCCCGTCATGAGCTTTTCTCCAAGTGCTCTGTTCTCAGCAAGGAGTCACTTGGACATATGAAGTAGCCAAACAATAAGTCTGGATGTAAGTGGATCTCTCTCTGGATTCTCCTCATAATTGTGCAATCAAGATTAGCAAGCAATCGAGATTAGCAAGCAGCTCCAAGCTTTCTCTGTCTACAACACGGACGTGGAAATGCTGCCCACTTAGCTGGGTACTTTGAATGCATCAAAGGCGTATGGAGCATTGTTTGCGCTACAGAGCTCTGTAGCCGAGCTTCTGATTGCGCTCTGGAGTCTACACAGGTTGCTTTGGTCCTTCTGCTCTCGTCCTGAGTGTTCCCTGCTCATCTCCACCCTGTTCCAAGAATTCCAGAGCTGGTAATTGGCCAGCACCTCTCAAGCTAACTCTCTGTCAAATTAAAGCAACTGGATGAAGTTCTTAAAGCAAAACACGGCTCAGCAGAGTTTAGGCCACCTGGGAGACAGCTCCGCCTGTGTACTGAGACTATGCCGTGGATGCTGAGCTGTAGTCTTAGGGAGGTCCCTCTGCACATCCTAGACGCCGCAGGCAGCTCACTCTAGGGCGGCTGACCGATGAGGAGATCAAGACTCAAGGAGACAAGCGCCATTAGGTGGTGGTCACGGAGACATCATGAACTCATCGGAGAAGAGCGTTTTAACCCTTCTAACCCAGTGTCCACCAAATGAATGGATGAGCTGCCAGTCAGTTTGTTACCATGGGAATGTCAGGAGCCTTTGTGTCTCCCAGACCAGGATTCAAACTCTACTTGCATGGCTTATTGTGTGTACACCCTTGGAAACGTTGTTTGGTCTACAAAAAGAATAGCTACCTTGCTTGATTTGGAGGTAATAGAGTAACTGAGCCAGAGACTAGATGTACAACTGCAGTTTGAATTATTCAGTATTATTATTATTATTATTATTATTATTATTATTATATGCTGATAATTGTGGGGAAGGGTGACTGTAACCTACAGAGGTTCTATACTATTTACTTCCTTCAGTTTTAAAATATTTCCCAACCACTCTGCAGGTAGGTCATTGACCGCCATAATTTCCCAATGGGAATCAGAGACCACACATAGTCATGTATTTAAGAAACATTTCTAAATCACAGGACATGGCTGAGTGGAATAAGAAATCAACCAAATAGTCATATAATCTCCAATCCACATGTGACCCACAGAGAGAGGCTGTGACGGTGATTGTGGTTGTTAAAATGCTTCGGTCCCCCGACCGTTCTGCATCACCTTGGAGCTCAGTGTACAAGACTCTAAGGAGACAGGAGGAGAGAAAAGCTCTTCCACTAGGAGCAGGATTTCCAGTGAATCAGAGTCCCCAGAGCCTGGACCCGCAGTGGCTTACAGAGGCCGGTCAGGTGGTGAATGAGTGATTGAACAAGAACGACGCGATTTCTGCACCGTAGCCTGCCAGTCCAGGGTTTGCATCACTGCCAATAACTCTGGCTTGGCTTGGTGCTTGAAAGAATCACCTGGCACTGACATTTTCCAAATAGGAGAGAGTCTTTGTCAGAGAGGAGGCAGGGGTAGTTCTAAAATAAAAGGTTAACGCTGATATCATTAGTGAGTGCTCGAACACACACACACACACACACACACACACACACACACACACACACACACACACACACTAAATGATGGGTGACAGAGAAGCCATTCTGAAAATTCAGGGTCACAGCCCCTGATTTCCTCTTGAGAACTGACGGGAAAGGAAGTAGCTGATATAAAGAGGCCTGCCACGAGAGTCATTAGCTCCCTTCCTAATGACTCTCCAGTTCCCACCATTAATTAGTCAGGTTTGTTGTCATGTTAAAGATGCCAGAGTGGTCCGTGTGGGTTGTCTGCGTCTATGTATCTGTGTCTGTCGTCTGCATATGTGGGACCATTTCCATACACCAAACTCAACCATAGCCTCAGTATGGGCCTCTGTGGTGGTGTCGGTGTGTAGGGCTAATGCAAGTGTGTGCACGTGTGTGCAGAGGTGCGTGCACCCAGGTATGCATGTGTGGAGACCAGAGTTGGTGTTGGAGGATCTTCATCATCACTGTTTCAGCTAGACTGGCTGTCCCGTGGCCCCTGGGATCGCTCGTCTCTTTGTCCTCGCTACTGGGGTTATGCAAGCTGCCACCTCAGGTTTCTATGTGGGTGATAAGGAACAGAACCCAAGTCTTCATGCTTTCCCAACAAGCTCTCCACCACTGAGCCCTCTCTCCAGGCCCACCCTGGGGCTCTTAGGATTCCCCACAAGATGGTTTCTCCACCCCCTCCCCACTGAGAACCAGATCCTTCTCAGAAGAAACCAACAGACTAGTCAGAGCACTTCCTAGTAAACTCTGATACGATAGCACTTTTAGAGAGTTTGGTTTTTCCCCCACAACAGGCCTGTGTGATTAGAAACTGACATTTCTGTCTGATGCAGGGCAAGGTTGAAGCTGAGTTCCACTTGGTCACAGCAGAAGAAGCCGAGAAAAACCCTGTTGGGAAAGCCCGGAAGGAGCCCGAGCCCTTGGCCAAGCCCAAGTGAGTATGGCCGAGCTGCAGTTGGGAACCATGGGTGGGAACCCCAGCTTAGTTTCCCCAGAACTACTCAAATGACCCGTGGTGATAGGAAGAAGCTGTTCTATTCCTGTTGCTTTAGGCAGAATGGCCTCTCACCCCTATTCTTAGGCCTCTCCTGTGGGTCCCCAGAAAGACCCCTCAGACATAGTGAGGAAATAAAAGAACCGGGATGTTTGGCCTTGATCACTTTGCAGAACTTTCATCCCCATAGATTTTTCTTCTCCCTATCACCAAGGGTCATTTGGGTAGTTCTGGGGAAACTAAGCTGGGGTTCCCGAGCATACTGGAAGCATCAAGACTGTGACTTTTATTTTACCTTTGTGTGTGTGTGTGTGTGTGTGTGTGTGTGTGTGTGTGTGTGTGTGTGTGTGTGTGTGTGATGGGGTCTGGTATAGTCCCTTTGAAGCTCCAGTATCAGAAGTGTTTCCTGGGTATTGAACACGACCCCTTCCCCGATTTCTTCCCTAGCCGCCCAGACACCTCCTTCTCGTGGTTCGTGAGCCCCTTCAAGTGCCTGTACCACCTCATCTGGAAGAACTACAAGAAGTACATCATCATCGCGTTCATTCTGCTCATCCTGGTCGTCTTTCTGGTCCTCTTCATCTACACCCTGCCCGGGGCCATCAGCCGGAGGATCGTCGTGGGAGGCTCGTAGGGCTCCCAGCGGTGGTGGAGAGCATGGGAGGCTCCCAGGGGCGGTGGAGAACACAGGCCCCATCAGCATTGCTCTCCCGGTTTCCTGTGTGAGCCTCTACGATCACGGGCTGGGGGAGGTGCTGCGGTGAACGCTAAGGAATAGACTTAAAAGAGCCAATGACCCCCCCTGGGTCCCAGGACAAACCAGGTTTTCTCTAGGAAGACAGCCTCTGGCGGTCTCTCTGCCCCCGTCCCTTCTGCTGTCCTTCAAACCCCTAAATCCCAAATCTTGCCATTGCCCAGGAGTAACCCAAAACAATGACTCTTTCACTCTGGGCTAATCAACCGTGACCTCAGCGAAACTTTCCTCGTGTAATAGAGTCTATTCAAAACAATTAAACTCTGAGTCTGAGATTTTATTAGAAGTTTCATATTTCAAGTTGTTGTGTCCAAGACCCCATTAGCTCGGGCCCTTCATCCAACCACCTCAGTGGATGGCTGGAGAAAAGACCCCAAGATACCACGAGACAGGGATCTTATAGGGCATTGTAAGGGAAGTGTCTAGGGGTACGCACAGGCTCAGGATTGGTGTGCCTCCAGGCTTGGACGACCTGCCCTGTGTTGATTGGTCAACTGGTTGTTATGGTCCATAGGCCCTCCCAGGGTGGTTGCTATGCTCTGCATGTCACTGTCATGCACTTGTCTAAAGCACAGCCCCACCAGCTAACTTCTGATTGGTTCTTTGCCACCGGGAGGACATCTGACCTCCTAATGACCAGGACTGGCCCTGCAAGGTCAGGCAAGCACTTGTTAGCCTGTCATGACTGCCAAAACGGGGGTGGGGGGGTCAGGGGGCTGGTCCCTTCAAAATAAAAGGTCTTAGTGAATAGACTGAAATTTATTTAGTGTTTAGCAAATTACTAGCTGTTTAACATGTCCCAAATATCACTTGGTTTAATCGTCACAGTAACGGGGCACATTCACTTACAGGCTATCAAACTGGTTTAACAAAAACCAGTGTGATCCTTTAAAACACTTCACTGTTGAAATCCCCCTATGGAGACAAAAGGCAGCCGGGTTACTGTGAAAGTCAACTGAGGATGCCCAGTAGCCGTAGTGAGCCGTGAGAAGTCTACTTTAATTTGTTCCAAATGGAGTGTTCCCAATTTATACTAAGACGTATGAGCTATAACTGTGAGTATGGGGAGGGGGGGTCAGGGCAGGCTCCCTGCCACCCAGTGGAATTCTCATTTGCTAGATATGAGAATTGTTGTGCCCCCACCGATCACATGACTGTGATATGAATGGGCAGAGCCGCCTCTGCTCAGCCCTTACCCGACCAGCAGGACGGCCAGGTTCTAATGGGAGTCTCAGGAACTGAGGGACAACAGCTTACTCACTTGCAAATGCCTCCGTGTGTCATGAAAGGGGAAACTTCTGGCCTCCCAAGCACAGTCCCTACATTCCAGGCTATCTACAGTGAGGGTGGAATCCAGGGGCCACTTTTCTCAGACATAGTGAGGAAATAAAAGAACCGGGATGTTTGGCCTTGTTCCCCTTGCAGGACTTTCAATTTTGTCCTTCTTCCTATCACCAAGGGTCATTTAGGTAGTTCCAGGGAAACTAAGCTGGGGTTCCCGCCCATGGTAGAAGCATCAAGACCATGACTTTTATTTTACCTTTTTTATTTTTTATTTTTTTTTGAGATGGGGTCTGGTATAGCCCATTTGAAGCTCAAACTTCCTATATAGCCAAGACTAATTTTGATTTCTGCTTCCATTTCCTAAATGTTAGGCTTGCAGGCATACCCCCATTAGGCTTGGCTTCTTATGTATATTTTAATAACATTGAATAGTTTTCACTTTTCTAAAGGCAAAGGTGCTTCCATCCACATAGAAAATCATCCTAGAAAAACAGAAAGTATGCTTTGAGAGATTAAAGAATACAAACTCATAGTGCCGGTGATTGAGCCCAAAGCCCGGCACACCATTGATTTACAGGCCTTGTGATTTTAGACTTAAGTACTGTTCGCTCAGTTCTGGCTGAGGGTGCTCTATCTCTGGCAACTGTGCCGTCTCATTTTCCTGAAGTGCCGAGAAATACAAGCTGGCAGGCAGCCTTGGCAGTGTTTCCTAGTGGGACTGGCTACATCAGGGGTGGCCCATATTGCTGTGCAGAAATATACATCCATCCTTAGTGAGGAGGTCAGAATGTTTGATGCCATGCAACATAAGTTATATATATATATATATATATATATATATATATATATTCAGTCCTCTTTCCAGTATATATATTAGAAAACTCTGTACAGCATGCTGTAAAAATAAATAAATATACAATGATGGAAAAAAAAGTCTAGAGAAATATACCAACATGAACAGTGGCTGTCTAAGCAGTATAATCTTTTCTTGGCCTTCTTGTTTTTCTATTTGTACAGAAGTTTTCGCAGAACTCCTGTAACAAACATGTAGTGTTTTAATGTAGAAAAATTAATAAACATAAACTTACCCTTTGTTCATTGAAAAATATGTATTGTCTCCCATAAGCTGGTCAGTGGAGACACATGGGAGAGAGGTGTGCAGGGCCAGATAACCACAGGACTTGTGTTCTAGAAGCTCTCCACAAATTATTGTTTTATCTTCAAATAACGATTCTTCCAGGAAAGGCACTGAGCAACAAATGTGTTTCACGAATGAAGCTTTGGAAAAAAATGCATACATTTCTGGTGTTGTTGGAAAGAGGACTGTTATTTTTAGATTAATTTGCATGGAAGGGCAGGTGCTTTCTGGAGAATTCTGGAAGGTAAACTGGACAAAACAATGCAAAGTGATGGAACACCTAATAAAAGCAAACAAGAAAGAATCATCTGGAAATCCTTCTAAGTGAAATAGAGTTCGTCAATGTCCCCTTGATGTCAAGAGCTGTCCAGATGCTGGAAGCCTGTGGCAGAAGCCTGAGAAACATCTTAGGAATGTGTGAGATGGAGTTGGTAAGCAAGGATAATTTTGGCATCAGCCATGGCTGGTGTTCTATACATAGGATATCGCATATGGCCTGTCCTGCAAAAGAAAAATTCAACAGAGTAATGTTCTGCCTAATTATGCAGGCCTGGTCCTAAAGATACCAGTTTTTAAAAAAAGAATACCCATTTCTCAAGTTGCCATGAGTCCCCACCTTTTTTTCTTATAACTTAAATACATTTTAGAATGCTTTTTTATCTTTTTAAACAACCTTTAAATTCTGCCTCCCAAAAAAAAACAATGCAAGACAAAATTAGTCCCAGCAAGAATCACAAACACCTGTAGGACTGGGTATCTAATGTTGCTTTATAACCTGGAAGCATTTGGTAGCCTTTGTTCTTCCCTAGCCAGAGAGAAAACATTTCATTTACTTTAAAAAATTGTAAGCAGACGGAAGCAGATGCAGAAATCCACAACTAACCAATGGGCCAAGCTCCTGGAGTACAGTCAGAGTGAGGGAGAAGCGATAATATGAACAAAGGAGTCAAGACCATGATGGGGAAACCCACAGAATCAGCTGACCCGAGCTGGTGAGAGGTCACTGACTCAGGTCTGACAAATGGGGAACCTGCATACGACCAAACTAGACTCTGTTAATATAGGTGACAATGGTGTGACTGGGACAATATATGAGGCAGTGGGTCCAAGTTCTGACTCTAAAGCACAAACTGACTTAGTGGAGCCCGTTCTAGATGGAGAGATACCTTGCCCAGCCTAGACACAGGGGTGTGGGGGGGTGGAGAGGTGCCTTGGTCCTGCCTCAACCAGATGTTGGGACAGACTTAGTAGACTTCCTAGGGGAGGCCTCACCCCTAGGAGTAGGGGGGATTGGAGGGAGAGGGAAGAGAGGAGGGAGGGGAAACTGGGATTGGATTGTAAAAAATTAAAAAATAAAAATTGGTGTGTTTGGAGTGTATGTGTGTGTACATATTTGTGTG